ATGATGTGTCATTTATATTCGAGAACTAGGAAATAGAGTAGTGGAACATCCAGACACAACAGACAGCAATCCCTGCCTTTATGGGCTTAATTTTGAGGTAACATATGAGGACAAGAGGATATAAGCCACATGGTTGTCTGGCAAGAGAGATACATGCAAAGCAAGCAAACAGTACAAAAGACATGATGGGGCCCACTCCAGAGAATCAGTTAGGGTTCCGATAGGAACAACTGACACACTCAAATCAGGAAAATTCAGGGTTGGAATATTAATAGAGACACCATTTACAAAGGTGTAGATAGGGAATTTCTCTCTAATTTACCTCTGGAAGTGGGAGGTTATGGACTAATGTACACATGATGTTCAGAGACTAAATACATTTGTGAATTTGGGTTCTGCATGGTGGCGGTAGCATGTAAGCCATCACAAACTTGGCCCAGCCCCATGAGGCCTCCTTAATCATAATGTAATGTCAGCTCTCTGGGCCCCGGGAGTGTACCCCATCACGGAAAGCCTTTAAATTGCACTTTGCCATGGAAAGAAACCCAAACCTTGATCACGTCAGAGGAGGGCAGACACCTCTCCTGTTCCTCCGTATGGAAGTTATTGTTGCTTTTTCATGGACAGAAAATTACAGATTGATGGAGCAACATTTTCATAGACACATTGGTGTAAGAGCATTTATACAAATGTATGCTTTAGGCATCTCTCCTCCCCACTCAGGAGACGATGTCTTAATTATTTCGACCGAAGCCAGACCATGTTGTGTGCTATAAACATCTGGTTTATCATTCATCCAGCTGAACTGGTTTATATTTTGTTAAAAGAAAAGGCTTTGGATTAAAGGCATTTAAGTAATTAAACACATGTCAAGACAATTTGGTGATGGGTAAATATAGTCTCTGTTCAATGCACCGTCTGGGGGCTCTGGTTTAGATTTACCTCCGGCTGGAGTACAGGGATGAAAGCAGAGCACCGGGTGGCACGGGCCCTGTTCTGGGGGATCAAAACCAAATGGGTTTTCAGGAGTTCAGGACCATTCCTATAAGTACCTGTCCCCACGGAGCACAGTTTCCTTTGAGTTTGGCCTGGAGGGAATAGAGCTGTAGTCCCTGTCACCAAATGCCACTTACAGACTTAATGAGACTCTCTCTGGGAGGCAGACATAAACTCTGCTTTGATTTATCCTTTGTGTTCAGGAAACCAGAGACATCTTGGAAGCTAAATGCTAGATTTGTGTGATGAGTGTGTGTTTTCAGGTACCAGTCCTGGACCTGAGCCCACTGTGCTCTGTTCCTTGGCCCAAACCTTATGGATGCAGAGGACTGGTGTTGGTAGGCCTGGTGGGATCGGGCTATGCGGAGCTGTGGCCAGTGCTGAGCAAAGAGGAAGCACAGACCTTGTCCTTTGGGCATTATAGTTCTAACAGCAATAGGTATGAAGTATCTGGTGATTTGATGGGACTTAGAGATCAGTGAGGGGGTCTCCAGTGAGCTATGCTTTGAGCCGAGGCACTGCTTCTCTCTGTGGTCAGAGGGAAAGAAAAAAACGCCCTCCGTGCATTTTCCTCTTCCTGGCCCCCTTCCGGGACTAAAGGAGGAGAGGTTGGGTCTCTCTCTGGGTTTAGAGCAGAGAGGAAGGACTATGGATGTGATCCTGAGGAAGAAATCTTTGCCATTATGGCCAGATGGATGGTGTGTGATGGAACCAATTAATCCGTTTTTGCTGAAAAGAAAGGAGAGAATTCAGAATTTCAATTTTCAAAGCAGAGGCTCTTTTTAAAGTAAACGCTTGATTATTTTCTTCTTTCAAACTGATTTCCATGCTTGTTTGGGGGTAGAATCTTGTTTTCTGAAGTCTGTGGGTGACCCAAGAGGGAAAACAATTCCTGTTCTTGGGTAAAGTGGTGGATGCACAGTGACTTTTCAGCTTGCCTCAGCCCTTCTCATTCCTCTTTCTTTTATGTCTTGTTCCCCCCTCTGCTCAGCAGCCAGTGATTGGGGTTGCCCAAATGACACCAGCTGAAAAAGGAGTCTGTAGCCATGGGGGACAGAGATGCGGTCCATGACAGCATGTGGGGGCTCTGGTGATCTGGGTTAGGATGACGTGAATCATACGGGCTCCAAGGCAAAGAACCATTTGTTGGGCATCCTGTTAGGAAATGAACTAATGAACTGGAGCTTAACTTTCTTCATGAGCATCGAGTGTCAAAAATTGAAATAACGAGGAAGGTGGGCTATCTGTGATAAATGGGAAGAGTCACTGAGATAAGTTTAGCTCTAGGGTGGTTACTCTTTTTATTTTTAAAGTGTATTTTATTGATTATGTTATTACAGTTGTCCCAATTTTTCTGTCTTTGCCCCCCTCTGCCTGGTACCCCCCTTCCCTCCAGTAATCCCCCCTCTTGTTCATGTCCATGGGTCATGCATGTAAGTTCTTTGGCTTCTCCATTTAATATTATTGGATAGTTACTCTTAACCATTTTTCCTCCTGTGTTCCCAGCAGGGAACTAAGTGCCATAAATAAGAGACAAAGATAAGAGGGGAGTGCTCTCTGACCTCAGATACCTTATAGACCTTTGGGGGACACAAAACAGTGAGCAAAAAAAGTTCTAGAAGTGAAGCGAGCTGCCTGCTTTAGGCATGCACTGCCAAGGAAGCTTTGCTTGAGATGGGGTTGGGGTGCAGGGCTTCAGACCTCTGAAGATTTGAAATCTTTCTCAGGATCTGGCAGCAGGACCCAGGAGTCCAGGTTGTCAGCCTAATACTCTCAGACACTCAGCTACTGTGCTCAGCAAAGCTGAGAATTAGCAGAAGAGTTCAGCACCTGTTTAACTTTTCCCACGCAGTTTTGAGGCTGTCTTCAGGGTGTATACTGCTACTGTGGCAACCATGGGTGTGAGGGCGGGGGAGGGGGAATTAGTTGGGGCTGTGCATGGGGTATGGTCTAGTTGGAGCCCTACTCGCCTGTGATGCTTCAGCCTCTATCCATGTTGACAGCCCTTGTGTAGCTTTGAACTACCCCCACCCCCTCCTGACGTGGGACTCCTCCCCTTGATTATTGTAGGGTGGCTTCACATTGCTGTGGTTATGGCTCTTGAACTGATTAATGATGCTCAGAGTGAAATTGTAGTCGTGCGAGTAAGACAAATCTGCAGCTCATTGAGCCTCAAGGCGCCCCTCCCCCCACCCGCACTCCTTTTACCCACTCTCTGATCACCCCACTCTCCCTAGTTATTTCTGATGTTTTATGTTCATGCCAAGGAGGAAGCTTAAAATGAGGAAAAGGACGGGCCCCATGGTGACGCCGCTGCACCAAACGTTCAGCCTCAACTCACTGGCAAGGGCCACTCTGGCTGAGCACCCACTGTGGCCTCCCAAGGGCCTCTGCTCCCACCTGGGGCCCAAGGCTAGTCTTTCCTGTGCCCAGCGTCCTGGAACTGAGTGGAATAGACACAAGGTTTGAGGAAAAGGAGGCTGACAGAGGAGAGAGGGTTGTTTGAGAGCCTCTGGCATCTCTGGGCTTGTAGATGGGGCCATGGGTAGGAAGGGGAGGTGGAAAATCATGAATTTTAATGAGGAACTGTTGTTTAAATTCATTATCCAAACCTGCCCTGTATCCAGAGCCCTGAAAATGCAGATTTATTTAGAGTGTAGACATCATGAGTTTCCCTCCAAAATCAGTATTCTCTTCTAACTACTATCTATAGTCTCTCTAGAAAGATTGATTGAGGGCAGGAAGTGCATTTGAGGTGAGGGAAATCATGGTGCACCGAGACTTGCCCCTCCTCCACCGCTCTGTGATTAAATGTGCCTTCTGGCATGGCAGGATCCTCGGTGCTGGAGTTGGTGAGAAATAATCCTTTCCATCTGGGAGCCAGTGACCCAGGACGGACTATTCTGAGTCAGACAGAACATACAGACCACTTTATAGTCTCTGAATAGAACCATGAATGAAACATGTAAATAACCATGTCTCCATGCTAAGCAGAATGCTCTCTGTTGTGAGTATATTGGGGTTACAGGGACAGAGCCATTCATTCATTTAGCATATATTGAATAGGGTTGCTCTCTGCAAGTAGTATGAAATACTACTGAGTTTAAAAAACCAGTTCCTTGTTGTTGTGTGGTTTTCAAACTTTGTAGTCTCGGGATCCCTTTACACTTTTAAAAATTATTGAGATTACCCAAAGGGCTTCTCTTTAGGTGGGTTATATCGATCAATATTTATTATATTAAAAGTGAAAACTGAGTAAATTTGAAAGGACAAGGATATGCAAACATACATTCCATTAGCTGTCAGGAGGAGGGTGTCATCACGTGTCACAGAACTGCACTGTCTACTCGCGAGAGAATAGGAGTGAAAAAACAAACAATATCTTTGTACTATTATAAAAAATAGTTTTGAACCCCTGAAAGGGACATGGGGGACTCTCAGGGCCCTCCAGACCACATTTTGAGAACTATAGCCCTACTGCCCTTACCCTGGACAGCTCATGGTCCACAGACTAGTCAGGGACAGTGAGAAGCACCGCTCTGTGAAGTAATAGGAAGGTTCCAGCGATGAGTTCAGATAAAGTGCTATGTGGTGTTCTGAGATATACTTTTATTGATCATAATTACAGTAATTGATATAGTCATTCCTAGGCTATCATTGAACATAGATTCTCAACTGGTTTTTGGTGGCCATGGAGGTGGTGGTGGAGCAGGAGAGTGACTGGACTGGAGGGAGCTGGACGTGTGAGGGCAGGAGGAATGCGAAGTCTGAGGAAGCATATCTGATATCAAAACATGCCTTTGTATTTGGGGAATGAAAAAATATTGCTCTTACACCAAAACTGAAGATCGACAAAAACACATGTAGACTGGGAGGCCATAGAGGAGAGTGCAGTGATTCCCAGCTGAGCGGTGGGTGAGGGTTGGGTACATATCAAAAGGCAAAGGGTAAGACCAGAAACCCCTGCCCTCGAGTTATTATTTTCATCTTCCTTTCTTCCATAGGTATTAACTCTCTGATAGCAAACAACATCTATGAGGCTGCCTACCCTCTTCATGACGTAAGTACTGTTTCTGTCGGCATGCTCTCTGTAGTCTTAAAAAACTTGAAAACCGCAGGCGTCATACTGGGTGGATATATGTGAAGTGAGGCAGGAGTGAATGATGACATTAAAATACCTTGGCTGGTTCTGGACTGCTCATGACTGACCATAGCCCTGGTTTGTTTTTGACAGTGGTCTATCCAGTTATTTCCCTAATGGCAAAATGAACTGGTTTTGTTTGAGCTTCCCTGACACTCCCTGTCTTTGTTTGGGGGGAAAGTGTGAGAAGACCAAGTTGGCCTGCAAGTGGTTAAAGGGAGATGATGTTGGAGGTGGGTGGATGGTGCTGGAAGGAAAATATATGGCCTGGATAATATACAACCTGGACAGTCAGACCCTTAAATAATTGAAAGTGATGTTTTGTGTGTGATAGTTTTGTGTAGATGTGAAATTCCTCATCCTTAATATGCAAATATATACTGTCATTTTTTTAAAAAAAATTTTACATTTTGAAGGAAATCTCTCAAAATTCCTTATACTATTGTTTGGATAAGTTAATACAAAAGATTGTTTAGTAAAGCTTCCCTTGACTGGAAGTCATGTTATAAACATGACATAATACAATGCAATGACATTCTTTAACATGACTCATGAAGAACCTAACTGGCTCATGACCTGAATACCCTATGGTGGCACTGTTGATTTGATTGGTGACTTCTTTAGCACCTGTCACAGAGTTGTGCCAAATGAGGTGACCACAGTGGGGATCCCCAAATGCCCAAAGGAATTTCCCAGATGACAACCTTCTTCTCACTGACATCTTTACTATGGGCCTATTTGAGCTTAGGTTCTGCCAGTTAGGGGCAGGGGTTAGCAGGGCATGGCACAGGGTGATTTTGCATGACATGACTGTTTACAGACAGGCTGCGCCCTTGCCTCTGCTATGAGGAGGCACAGACTGATCTCTGGAGCATCTCAGGGGAGTAGCTCTCTGAGAAGCTGTCCAGAGGAAACATTGCAAGCGTTGATGATTAAGAAAGTGGAACATTGGCTCCTTACCATGTCGTGTTTTTGACCTTCCTCAAATAAGAATGAAAAAGAGGGATGACGTTAGAAAATTAAAAAAATTTTTTTTCTCTGTTTTTAATAATTCCATTGGCTTTCTCAAGCACCTCTTTCTCTCCTACAGGGTGAATATGACAGTCCAGGGGATGACATGAATGACAGAAAGGTACGCCGGTTTTATGCTGCATTGAGTTCTTTGAGCACAGAAGACCATGGATGGGTGTGGGACTAGATAGACGTGTCCTAAATGTTCAGTTTATCTCCTTATATGTTTTTAGCAATTCTTCCACAGCTCCCTGCCCTCTGGGCACTTGGGAGTATGAGGGTCACTTCTAGCTATTGACATGATTGTGTGCATGGGGTGCTGCTAGTATTTAGTGCCTTGTGGACCAACTGTGCTAACCATCTCACACAAAAGCGTGATCCCATTCCCTGACGAGAAGGCCTTCTCTGAGAAACACTGCAAGTCTAAATTCCTTAAGTTATAGATGGGGAAGCTGACACACAGAGATATTGAGCACCTCGCCCATAATAACCCCACCATAATAAACAGAACTGGGGCTTGGAATACTTCTGACTCTCGAATCCTTCTAAAAATGTATTATTATCCATGCCATTATCTTTTTCATGGAGTGGGGTCATCTTTAAGCTCTTCTTACTCCGTAGGCAGACAAGTGGGGGATAGCCATTTCCAAATTTCAGATGAGAAATCTGAGGGGGAGGGAGGCTCATTCATTATGTGTATCTGGGCAGCTAGGAATTAGAGGTTATAGTTCAGGGAGGGAAAAGTCCCTTTGGAAGCATCTCTCCTATGCCAGTCATGGCTTCTGACTGGACAGCTCTCTCCCCAGCCGTCCACTCAGATCCCATTTCTTCTGTTTGCTGATGCTCTGGGAGCATGGGTGTGTCTCCTGCTCTGCCATGGCCTGGTGCTGTAGGGATCACACAGCCTCCTTTAGAGGTGACGGCCCCATCTGGCTGTCAAGACCCTCTTGCTATCCGTTCACGAATATTCCCCCAGCTGTCAGCCACTCTGATGAGCAGAAGAAGGTGGGCAAGGGCAGGAGAGGTGAGGAATTGAAGCCCAAAAAGTTTCCCTTCCCCCAACTCTGTTGTCTGGAAAATCATTCATCCCCCAAGTTGCCTTTAGAGCAGCCTTCTTTTTATCCTGCCTATTAGTCCCTGTTATGAAGTGTTAAGTATTAAAAACATAAAAGGTTTTTTCCAGAAATACTGCTGTGATTGCTTGCACATGTCCCCTCTCTGCCTGCCCAGGGAATCTGCTCTAGTATTGCGATGTCTTAACCTCATCTGTTTTCTATCTGATGCTAATAGTCTTGGTGTTTAATTTCCTGAAAAGTCCCGGATCAGATTTAAAGGAAAAAGAGGAAGCCTTTCTCCCCACATCTCACCTCGCTCACCCCAACCATTTTTTGTCCTCCCACTCTCTAATTTCACATTCCTCCCCTTTAAAAGAGTGATCACCACCACTACCCACCTAAGAAACCTCCCACTGGGTGGGTGATGACCCAGCCTGTCAAGGTGGAGCACTTTACAGGAACATTCCAGGGACCAGAAACACATAGCAACTCATGGGAGAAATCAGTTAGCCCTCTGATATCATCACAGAGGCAGAGGGAAGCAAATTGTATACTATCCAAAATATATGTGTATTTGTCTTTGCAATGATACAATATATTATTAACAACAAAACCTTTTATCAAAACACTTTCCTCCCAGAAAATGTTTTCCTTAGGTCAGTAGAATTACTTCCAGTGTGCAACCCAACTGGCTGGATGGGCAGAATCTGGGAGTTAGGGAGAGGCCAGCCGTGTGAAGATGCACCTTGGTGTCTGATTCCCAAAGTTTACGTTTAAAAGGATGCGCAGTAAAGGTGGACCAGTGTCCTTGAAAGACAAAAGGCTCCTTTCCTGTGGCTTTCCCTAGGGTTTGCTGCCAAGTCCTGGTGTCCTTGTTTTCCTCTGCCAGGGTCACAGGAGGGAAATAAATACACTTTGCTGTGATGAGGAATAAGAGAAACCATGAACCAGAGTCAAAGCTTTTTTCTGCCCATTTGGGTTGGGAAACATATCCAGCAAGGTGAGGAAACTGGTTCCAGTGTCCATAAATATTTGTCATGTCAGGACTATAACCTTGGTGTCAAAATTCCAGCCAGAGCCCTATAGCCGTTCCTTGTATGTGGTGAGGGGAATGTTCCTTCCTTCAGTTTCAGTGCTATATGGGTGGTGCCTAAACATATCCTAAAGAGGAAAGAGCCAAAACCTCTGAATATGTATAGCCTATTTATTTGTTTTTGCATTGTAGAAGTCTACTGTTCATTGAGAGGGCGGCAGGAAGGATTTGAGTTTGAATGCAAGGGAGAACACTTGACTTTGTTGCTGGAGGATGTGGAGCAGGGTTGGAGGCTGTGGTGTGGGATGGCCTCTCTGGGGATACTTTGCAAGGGCATCTCAAGCTGTCCACCCTGCCAGTACCTGGATGTTCTTCTCCATTCTTTCCTGCAATCTGCGGCTATTCCCATGATCAGCTGGAGGCCCAGGCTCCTTGTATGCAGATCCCAGGCAAGCCCAGAGGCCCCTGAAAAGGCAACCTCCTTCCTTCCCAGCTTGCCTCAAGCAGTTGTGCAGTCTCCATGGACTTGGCCCCAGCTAGCACCTGGAGGGCTTTCTCTTTTTCATCCTGGAGGGTAATTAAAAAGAGGCTCCCTCCCTCTGGAGAACAGGGGTTTTCCACCTTTCTAGAAAGCAGGGCAGCAGGAACAAGGAACAGCATGTGTATGGATGGGTCCCTCCTGGCTGCCAGCAGCCAACTGATTCCACGTTAGCCAGACCTGTCTTGTCTTCTCAAGCATCCCATGGGAGTGACTGTTAGCATGTTCTGAGGGCTGTCTGACTCCCACTGGCCCCTGGTGGCTTCCTTCCCACTTACTAGGGGAACCCAAGGCACAACATTGGAATGATTTTAAACCCTTGGTCCTGGATTTTTTCAGCTTTTGCAAATGATTGTCTTCTCTCGTGGACAGTTATAAAGTGACCCACTAAAAGGTGTGTGAAGAGAGTCTGTCTCTCTGACTCTCTTGTTTTCACATGATTTCTTAGTTTCACTTGGTTTTTCCCATCCTTTACAACTTCCATTGTACCCTTAAAGGAAAAGACCTAGATAGTTGAAATGACTTGCCAAAAATCCAAAGAGGTCATTGCAGGATCTAGGCATAGAATTCCATTCTCTCCCATTCAGGTCCCCCCTGTCCCATCAGTGCCTCTGAGTTGGCTGCAGTGGGTATCTTTCTACCTGATGCAGGTCCAGCTTCTCCCTGAGGAGCGTGTGGCCTAAGAGAGGGCCACGAGTTACAAACACCCTGCTGTGCTCTGGCATTGCGAATGGTTTTAACAGTTGGGTTCCTTATAGTCTCAAGAAACACTATACTTAAACCAACTGATTCACTGTCAAATGTGATTCCTAAGGAGCAGGGCTGGCCACTGGTGTGCTGTGGCCCATCAGATGGGGTGGTCCCTGAGGGTGGTTGCTTCCTGCCATCAAGGTCTGGGGTGAGACCAACAAGCCTGAAATTACCCCTGGAGCCCCCAAAGTAAGGCACTGTCCATAGAGAAGGAGCTGCAGACTGTCCTTGATCTGCTTCCAAGCTTGGCCAGTTGGGGTAGAGGACAAACTGTAGTTCTAAGGGACAAAGTGGATTTGCTCAGAGCTGCATTAGAAAATTCTAGACTCTGAAAGTTTAAAGGGATTGTCACAAGTTACTGTGGTTGTCCTTTTGAATTTTCCTTTGAAACATTGCTATGGAACAGCATACTCCCCTTTACCCAGGGAAGCTAATCTGTTCTGGGACCCTGGAACCTGGGGCTTAGCATGATCCACTTGGTCTCTAATTATGTGTGATTAAAATGTTTGTAGAGGTAGGGGAGGGTCTACAGCACTCTGCACCCCTCTCCCTGCCTCCGCTGCAAGGCTATAAGAGCTGGCCTGGGCAGAGCCACATGATTGTCCACGCCCCAGATTTACTGCTCTGTAGCTCTGGTTCTCCTGCGGGGCCACCTAATGATTTCTTCTTCTGTGTTCATCTAGCCTGTTTGCATCGAGTTCAAAGAGCTCTCTTGGCTCATCCTCACTGTATCCACAAATTTGCAGATACGGTTCTGTGCTCAGAGGGCACCACGCTGATAAAAGCACCTTCTGGAGGTTTCTTATAGCAGATCTGGGATCCCACCAGGGGTAAGGCCTGTGAGCTTGGCTCAGTTTGGGCCTGAGCCAACTGGGCCATATTGGCTTCTTGGAGCATTTCTAGTTTTTCCCTCCCGGGCAGTAACAAGTAGGTGTTCTCAGGCTCAGATTTTGTCCAGACAGGTGACTTTGGAGAGGAATTTTCTCTAGAGAGTAGAGCCTTTGAGGCAGGTAGTGACGTCCCCCAGCCCTTAAGGGAGGACTTTGTCTGTAGCTCCTGATGCAAGCTGGCCTCCCTTCAGGCCACAAATGATGTCACTGTGACAACCAGGGGCTGGTGAGTCCAGAGTTTACACTGGGGAGAGAGAATAAAAACCCAGGGCAGTAGAAATGCCAAGATGAGTGGGAAGAAGGAAATGAAATAATAACAATAAGATTAGTAGATCTCGCCATTCCAGAGCATTGCCAGAGCTCTTGAATTCAGATCTTCCTCTGCCCATTATGCACATTGCAATTTATGTCTGGGTTTCTTACTTAGCACATGGTGGTAACTGTGGGTGCAGTTTATTCTACCAGGATCTGTGCAGTTTCTGGTTCTGTTTTTTGCTGTTGGGAGAAATTATGACAATAAAAGTCTATAGCCATTAAATAGCAATGCCAATTCTTAATTCTGTTTTCATATCATGTCTTTAAAGATTCTTAGATGAAAGGATGGCTTCCTTGAACTGGATGTACAAAATACCTGATGGGAGTAGCTTTTCCTTGACAGAATTCCAGGTGAATTCTGTGTGGTATATGAGGAGATGCGATGTATAAGGATGATAAAGAATAGAGAAAAACAAGGTAGCAACTGCATTATAAGTCTGTTTAATGTAGACATATAATTTGATTCTGCACTAGTAGCTATTCAGCATGGCCATCTAGATGATGTCTAATGATGGTTTGTTACCAAATTACTTCACTTACTTGTGGATGACCTGTGAAGCTCCCTGGCCAGGTACTTAAACTAAAATGTGGTTTGCCCTTGCAACTGATACTCAGGTTTGTCCATGTACCAGTTCTGCTAAAGTTGCTGTGAAAACATCACAAGATGGCATGGCCTGATATGTTTGGTGCATTGTTTTCTTCCTTATCCCCTACAATGTGTTCCGTTCAAGGTTTGCCCCCACCCTTCCACTGAAACTACTCTTGTCAAAGTCACCAGTGACCTTCACATCGCCAAATCCAGCAGTTGCTTCTCCATTCTCATCTGACCTGATCCATCAGCAGCATTTGGCACAACTGGCCATTTTCTTCTCATCGAAACCCATTGTTTCTTGGCTTCCTAGACACCATGCACTTCTGGTCCTCCTCCACATCAGTGGCTGTTCCTCTGTCTCTTTTGTTCTTCTTCATCATCTCCTTGACCACTAAGCGTTGGAGCACCAGGCCCGGATGTCAGGCCTCCTCTGTGTCTACTCTCCCTTCCTTGGTGATTGCACCCATAGCTTAATGACTTTACAAATCATCTCTTCTCCCACAACTCCAAATTCACATCTCCAGTCTGAACTCTGCTTTAAACTCCAGACTTTTATAGACAGCTGCTTACTCAATATTCCCCAAGTGGATGCCTAAAGGGCATCTCAAATAAACACATCCCAAACCAAACCTTTGGTTCCACCATTTTTGACCTGTTTGTATTATGATCTGCTTCCCTTCAGTAGATAGAATCACCATTTACTCAATTGCCCATGTCAAAGTCTCATTTTCTTTCATCCTATATCCAATCCAACAGTAAATCTTATTGACTCTACCTTTAAAATATAAGCAGAATCAACCACTTCTTGCTACTTCTCCCACTACCTTCATGGTTAATGCCATTGTCAATTCTTCCCCGGACCATTGCAATAGCCCTCCTACTCCTATGCCAGCCCTCGGCCTATTCTCCCCCAGCAGCCAGAGTGAGCTATCTGCATTCTAAATCAGACCATTTTTCCCTCACTGCCGCAAACCTCCTAATGACTCCTTTCAAAGTCCAAAGATTTGAGCATGGCCTACAAGCCTCTGAGTGGCCACCCCAGTATTTTCTGACATTATCTCCCATTATTCTCCCCCTGTTCATCTCAGGGCACACCGCAATCACTATTCAGGGTCCTTGCCCAAGAAGAGTGTTCTTCTGCCTGGAACACTCCCCTACTTCCTTCAGGTCTCAGCTCAAACATCATGTCTTCAGAAAGGCCTTTTCTTGTCATCCTATCTAAAATAGCACCACCCCACTCCCCTCTTTCATATTCTACTCCCTCACCTTGATTTTTCTTCATGACATTTATAAGTCTTGTATGTTTGTATTATACTTGTGTCTGCAAACCAGAGTGTACACTCCGTAATAGCAGCGATTTTTTTTTTTTTGTTTATCCAGTGTCTGGCCAGTACTTGACACATAGTAGATGTTCAATAAATACTTGTTAAGTAAGTGAATAAATGAATACCAGCTCATTTCACTGGACTAAGCAAGACAAGGGAATAAGAAGGTGGGATTATGATGACTAAGCATAGCATTGCCTTGGAGTATGATATTATTTAAGGAAGAAGTCAGCTTCTATAGTCTCCTGCCTTTGGACATCTCCCTTGAGGATGTTTCATGAGAATTTTCCTAGAAACTGGACTTAGGAATTTCAATTTTGACTTGCTAGTCATCTAAATAAAGCCATTAAGATGGCTTTGGGGAGTAAAATCTTGACTCTCTAGGATAGACAAAGGTGAATAGTTGCTCTCCGCTTCTAATCTGTTTCCCTGTTTTTCTTGTTTAGCTGCTATATCAAGAATGGGCACGCTATGGAGTGTTTTATAAGTTTCAACCTATTGACCTCATCAGGTAAGATGTGGGAGAAGATTCTTGGGAAGACTCTAGAGATGCAAATCCTGAAAGATATCTGTCCACCATCTTAGCCCCTGGCAGATCATTGAACAAGTAGAGGGATCTTCTTTGCTAGGTTGTATTATTTCCATGCTGTGTCTTATGGATGGGGAAGCAGCTCAGGGACAGGAAGGAGAATGGAGACTGTGTAGGGTAGCAGATAATGTAGATTGATACATCATGACTTCCATCTTGAGGTCCTTCAGCACTATGGTCTCCCTGCCGGCTCTTTTGTTGGGAGGGAAGGGCACATGCAATTATATCTTTTATTATTGTCCTTCCTATTTGTCCTAGAGAAGGACCTGGTTGAAGAAGGAGCCTTGGGTTATGCCCAAGTGACCACGGTTTGACTAAGAGAAGGGGAGACCTGGAAAATCACATGAGGAATAAGCTGGCTGGCCTGAGAGGGAATGTGGGCTTTTTATGGCTTCTCCAAATTAGAAGGGAGGGGAGACTGGGTCCTGGTGCCCCTTCCTTCAGTGCTGCCCCTAAAATGATGCTCTGTTACCTTGAGAATTTCCCCTGCTTCTGCAGAACGTTGGTGAACAGTGCTTTTAAAGAACGTACTAGAATGCAGTAGTCAGGCTAGTGTAAATTGAGTTGAGGGCTCTAGAAACTCAATGAGTTCTTTGAGTTCGGCCTCTTTCCCAATGGGAATATTGGAAGACAACACTGTCGAGTGGGGAAACACTGAGCTGAGAGTCTGGAGACTGGGTTCTCAGCCAGGCCAGGCTACTAGGGGCTCTATGTTTCTTTGGGTAAGTCATGGTCCCTCTTTGGTCTTCAGGATCCCAGTTGTCCTAAATTGGGAGACTGAACTGAGGGATCTGTGAGGATATTTGCTAGAGCATGCTTACTTGGAAAAGATGACTCTGGGCCCATGACTGAAATAATGGACTCACTGCTGCAGCATCACTGTGGCTCTTCTAATGAACTAATTAATCAGCGTGCAAACACAGAGAGTGTTCCTGGCTGATTGCCCTGGGCTGGGACTGTGAGAAGGGCAGCAGCCAGAAGGATGGAGTCCAGAGGGAGGAATTCCAGCTTCTTCTTGGAAGAAGAAAGCAGCCTAGGGGCCACAGTTTGGGCAGGCTCACCTCCCACACAGAGATGTGAGGGCCTTCCCAGGGAACTGGGAGCTTGGTTGGACGTCTCTTGACAACAGGTGTTTGTTCCAGCTGAAGACTGTTAACCGAAGTGCAGTTAACTGTTGGGTCGGGAAGCAGGGCCACTGGGTGCTTGTGACCGAGGCTCCCTCATCCCGTACCTCCCAGGCCCTGGCTTCCTTTTATGAGGCAAGGGCCACCTAGACTGTTCTCTGGGCCACACCAAGGCTGCTTCCGCCATGCCTGGTGGGCTTTGATCTTCCTCTCTGCATCTCAAATGGCCACCCACTCTGTCGCCTGTTTTCTCCAACTACTCATTTGTTTTTTAAAAATATGATTAAAAAAATAAAAATTCTCCTTACCAGAGAGCCCTGTCTTTCCCCCAGAGACTTCAGGTGACTGCCCGCCAGCTAAGTGGAAAATGGCTCCAATATGCACTTGGCTTTGGCCACCAAAGCAGCCTCACCTGCAGGGGAAGAATTGCCTTTGGAGCAGAGCCCTGCTCTGGGGCCTGGCGGTTCCTGAGCACAGAGAGCTCAAATCTGTCTAGACGGGGCACGGTGCACTGTGGAGCTGGAGGCTGGCCACTGCTCCTCACGGATCAGATGGCTAGGGAGCTCCCACAGCCCTGGGCTAGGCCAGTGGCTGGGCCAGGAGGGGGGAAGGCTGCGGCCTCAGGCATCGATCAGATACTGGCTGGAGGGAAGGGACGCTGGGTAGTGTGTGTGGGGAGTTGTCTGCACAGAGATAGAAGGAACTCCCTGACCTCACAGGGCTGCTGGAAATTGAGAGAGTGACAGTAGTAGGGAGAGAGGGAAGGGGCAAGGGCACTACGGACAAAGGTGAGTAAGCAGAGACAGGGACGCCGAGAAAAGGTGGCTGGAGGGCTTGTAAAGAGAATCCTGGGGTGGAGGGGTGGAGGGGTGGAGAACAGCTTTCCACACTCAGCAGGCGCCCCCTAACCTCATTCCACACTCTCTTCTAAGTGGCCCATCTCATTTCCTCTGATTCTGTCAAAGTCATCTCTGTCCTCTTACCTGCCCTCTCTCCCGCCGCCCACTCCTCAGTCTAATACCACGCCCCCCAGCCCCCAGGGGGCTTCTTCAGCACTGGTTCTCCTTTCCTTCACTTCTTCTCCAGCCTTCCTGTCACCAGCTCTCAGGGCTGCCCATGGCGGCCTCCCCTGAGCCTCCACTCGCCCCACACTGTGACAGGGCTGTTCTGTTACTACTTACTAATGTGAATTGTACCCTCTTTGTGCCTCATATGGAAATTACACCCATGTGGTCTGTGCTGAAAGATGGACAGAAGCAGGGGAGTCTGATACAAGCTGAGTGTAATTCGTTCAAAGGCCTGGCAGGAATATTTCCCCCTATTACCCGGGGCACCCGGCTCCTGTGGAACCCTAGTGCCCCTCCCCACCCACAGCAATCCTTTGGACCATTCTAAAGTACTGAGAGCTCAGTAGGGGTGGGAGATCTGTTTGCATTTTGGAAGTCTCCGGACTAGGTGTCCTTCCTCCACAGGACTTCCAGCCTCAACTTGAGATATGGAGTTAGAGGCTCCTTTCCCAGGTGGTGAAAGTGGGCAGAGCGGAGGCGAGATGCCCTTACCTGCACCCCTTGTGCCTGCCTGCTCCCGTTGCACCTTCAGTCATGCCCAGCAGGCTGCACTGTGAGACTGCTGATGTGTCTGTCGCTCCAGCCCAGCTGGGCTCTCCACCTTTGCTCTAGAAACCTCTGGGCCTGCAGGCCTGCGCTGACTGTGACTCTGTGTGTGTGTGTGTGTGTGTGTGTGTGTGTGTGTGTGTGTGTGTGTAAGGGTTGCCTGGAAAGTTCCCCAGGAAAGTATCCAGCAGGGACCCACTCACAGTAGATTCTTCCAGGAAACTCCAGCCAGCAGCACTTGTGCCCTGGCAGAAACAGGGTTTGTGACTAAGACGGTGAGGGACAGGATGTCTTAGCTGGAGGGAAATGGCTCTTCTAGTCTTTTAGGAGCTATGAGAGGGTCCTTTGCCACCAGGGGTGTAGATTTCTGCCTGTGCTGCTCTGGGCTAACATACTAACATCCCAGGAGGGAAATAGCCTTTGTTTTCTGGGGAACCTGGGGCCCTGGGGCCTTTGTGGTTTGTACAGGTGTGATCCAGTATTCACCAGCAACATGACCCATCTTTTTACCCAAATTAATGTCTGCTCACAGGCTGATTTTCTTAGCTTGGAGGTTTTGATATGAATGATACGAAACAGACTTTAAACATCTGAGTTTGATTTAGCTCCTTACTATACTTTGCTGAAGTTGATGTACAAAAAGTTTATTTTTAAGCATCTGCCACTGTCTGCCTATGACAGACAGCATGAGGAAGAGAAGTCTACTAGGCTCAGGGGGATTGCAGCCCGTTGATTTGGGGAATTCACCAAGGGGATCATCTGTGGCCTGCATACACCTCACCAAATCAGGGTTACGGTCTGGAGACGGGTAAATGGCTCTCACTCACTCATTCCCACCTCTTTCAGGGATGCCCACCTTATGAGTGAGGTTCCCTAAAACTCAGGCCCTGGACATGAAACCTGTCTGTGCGACAGCTTTGGAGTTCTCTTAGAAATGTTCTGGCTTGAAACTTTGAGACATGAACACCTCTGCAACAACCTGAGGCTGATGTCTACAGGATCATACCATCTCAAGAACTTTTAGGTGTCATCTGGGGACAGCAAGAGTGGCATATGCTGCCCCCTTCCCCCAGCCCCTCATGCGTCTCTACCATCTTAGACTTCCAGTGCTCTACAGGCCCACTCATAGGGGGCCTGTCCAGAACCCTGGCATCACAGGAATTGGCTCTCCCTCCTCCTACTGCAAGGCAGATGTCCTTGTTTTCGCCAGAGTTCTCCAGGACATCCATGAGAAGGCTGTGTGATTTAATCCATCCCTCTCAGTTGGTCTCTGGGCCCCACTGGTACCCTCCTGAAATGTGACCCATCCACGCCCTCCAGGAGGGAGATGGAGGGAGCCACGTTCTTTCTTAGGAAGCTTCTCAGCAGGCCAGGCTGGTTTAGGGGAGGGAATGAGGAGGAAACAATGTTAATCAACCTGTGATTAATTATTTCCTGAGCCCTGGTGCCTCCTCCTTGATCCTTCCCTGGGATTTATAAAGGCTACTCAGCTCAATGCAATAAATATTTACTGACTGTTACAGTGGGCAAGTCTCTGTGCTCGGAAACATGGGTGGTGCAGCAATAAATAAGGTGAAGTTTGTGCCCTAAGGATCTATCAGTTATGTAGGAAGACAGACATGCAAGGTAGGATGAAGTGAGGGCTTTTAAGAATTACAAGTATAAACATGATAGTTTAGGACAATGAAGGAAGAGGAATTGCTACTAGCACAATATGGAGGACTTCCTGGAAGAGGCAACACTTGAATTAGAAATGTTGTTTTCTGAAGGACAAAGATTAAAGATCCTGAATGTGTCTTCATTAACAGCCTGGACTACCCTGTGCATGGATTTCTTGTTTAGCCTGATATTGGTGGCCAGAAATCACATTGACCCAGAGTCTGATTCTTCTGATGTTGATTGGGAGTGGTAAGATCAAAAACTTGACTTGCAAACCTACCCTGTACAGATTCTGTGCCAGCCTGGCCCATGTATCTTGACCTGCCCTCTAAGTCAGCAGAGAATTCAGGGTTGGAAGGAGGTGAGGCTGAATCCAAGAGAAGGGACTAAGGAGATGTGAAGAGTGGGACTAGCACCTTGGTATTAACATAGGCCTCAGTACTTAAAGTATTGGATTTAGCTGGGAAGTATTTTGCAGGATGGAAAGAAATATCTTCTGGCCCTGAAGATTATTTTTCTTCCATCT